GAATGAAATACGGTAGAAAAAGTATTCGCTAACTAGAGAGGGCGGCATACTGAAAATTAAATCCTGGGAATTCTGGGTATTTCCATGACGTCACATTTTTTTTGGTCGCCATTTATTATGATTAGGTGGTTCGTTGTTGTTTTGTAGAGAAAGGAGTTACAATGTTTTCCTGACGATTTGTTCTGCAAATTTTATATTTTAAACAAAATGCCTCGTTCAAGAAGTAGAAGTAGCTCTCCTAAAAGAAAACACAGTAAAAAGAGTCGTCGTTCACGCTCTAGATCACGTTCTAAGTCATCGTCAAATGCACGAGATCGTGAGAGTGAAAAGAAGTCGAAATCAAGAGGGGAAAAATCGTCACGAAGGCGGCGATCTCGCTCTCGGGACAATGAAGCCAGAAAACGTAGGCGCAGTAGGTCTCGATCACGGTCCAGTCCAGAGCTGGACATTTTTGGAAGAGACATAAGTAAGAGAAATGCTGAGGAGGAAAAACGTAGAAAAGAAGAAGAAGAGAGAAGAGCTGAATTGGAAAAACAGAGGAAAATGTAAGCAGGTGCACAAAACGATATCCAAAAAAGGCAAGCCTGAAAAGAAGGCTTGGCTTGATTATGGCTTCATAGACGACGTTTATGTTCTTGCTCTTACCTTGTCCTTGTTTAGCATTTAGTAATAGGGGCCAGGACCTGGGCCTAGAAGGGCTAGGCCTAGTACTATTACTATTTTACTATGATTAGAGTAGGCCTAGCTAGGCGACAGTGGAAATTGAGGGGGCGTTATGGAAATAGTTGAAAATCGGGGCACTTAAAAAAAATTTTCACGTTAGGGGCGCTTATTCAAATGGGGCGAGTATGGTAAATGATTTGCTGTTGCATAAAAATTTTGGACAGGATATTTGAAGTCATAAAACAGCAGACAGACTGAAAAGTTGGGGCTGCCTGAGAATATAATCCTGCGCCAGAATATAATATAAGGCCACGAGAATGAAAGTTGTAGGTTTGCGTCCGAAAAATTTTGAAAACACAGGCATTTTTTCATTATTCATTATTTTTTTTTATAAATGCTGTGCACAAGACACGGCATTGGTAATTTTACATTTATTCCCAAGAAACAATGCTTACAGTCATAAATGTACACTAGCCTATATAAAACAGATCCTTTTCTACATTTAAGACCTCTTTAAACATTTCCTATTGGTCGGAAAGATCGATTTGACCCGTAAATGACCTCAGCAGTGATCGGCGATCATGGTGCGATGTGGCCTGGCCTGCCTTCGCTCGGTGTTCGCGACGAGTGATCAGTGATGAATAGATCGTTTTTCTGTCTGTTTACGACTTAGAAAGTCCGTTTTTTAAAATGAAGTATATTTTTTTTTTCAAAATAATGAAAATTTTCGTGCGGTAGCTTTTTAGGCATGCGGGCGGTGGATGCAAACCTACAACTTTCATTCCCGTGGCCTAATCTGCGCCAACAGTTATTAAATAAATAAGGCCTGAGTTGAGGTTCAATTTTCTTTCAAATTTTTTTTTTTTTCAAACAATTGCTGGTATTTATATTGCACAAAATAAAAGAAAATATAAAGCAGTAGCTTCCTTACACATTTTTTGAGTGAATTTCTGTACAATTTCAGTAATTTATTTTAATGCATCCCTTGCGCAAATTCTTCACAATCAATTAATGTCTTTTAGTCGTCAGCAAGAGATGGAAGCAAAACTGATCGAGGAAGAGGTTGCACGACGAGTTGAAGAGATGGTTGAAAAACGTGTCCAGGAAGAACTGGAGAAAAGAAAAGACGATATTGAAGCAGAGGTTTTGAGACGGGTGGAGGAAGCTAAACAGGAGATGGAGAGAATCATGATGGAAGAGATGGAAAAAAAGAGACAGGAAGAACTAGCAGCTCAGAAAAGAAAAGAGGTAACGTTATTTTTTCAGTGGATTTTGGGCAGTCCTGACCAACTCTCCCTTAACATTATGTGTTTTAAACTTGTTCCTCTTATCATCTCTGTACTGTTTTAATTAACTAATATATTTTCGTTTATCTGTTAACAATTTTCCATCTAAATGGTGGTCTTGAAAAAAGGAAGTTCAATTTAGATTGATAGGCTCTTGCCTGCATATAATAAAGCATAATATATCTATAGTTTTTTTGTTATAAATACAATATAGTTTGGTCTGAAATATTAAGTTATTTTATTTATTAATATCAGCAGAATTCTAGTGGAAGGAAATTTAGTTTTTTGAGTGAAAATTGCTACTTCCAATCCCTAATATTTTCAAGGTTGCAGGATGCACCAGTTGACTTTATAATAGAATGAACTTCAGTTGTTTTTTAGGAAAGGTTTTTATTCTTTTTATTGGTTTTGTTAAAAAGTAATCGTAGTCAGTGTCCCCCAAAGAGTTGGTCAGGGTTGGCCGCTGGGTAGCTTCCAATGCAGGGCAGTAAGATGCTGATAGTTATTCATTTTTCATGCTTTCATCAGTCAATACATATCAAACAAAGAATTATAGAAAAAAAATCCATAGCTTTGAAAGAGTAGAACCCCCACCGATGAAAATGGTAAATGCATCTCTAGAACAAGTTCAAAACAACTTCTAAAATAATCAGCGCTCTCTGTATGGTACCCCTCCTGTTAATATATTAGTGTAAAGATAAAGTACAGTAAATTGTATAACACAGCATGTAATTGCTTGCCCAGCAGTGGTTAGCTTTACCCGGCATCAGCATTAACTTACACATCTGTTTGCCTCATCAGTTGACTCTGTACCTCCTCCCTGTTTTTGCTTGGGAGGAGCGCAGAGTAATGCAAGCGTATTGGAAAGTCGCAAGTGCAAATTTCAAGTTCAGATGGTTTTAAGGTATACTATTCAAAATAAAGGAACATTGAGGACATAAAAAGACACTTTGAACTTGGACAATATAAAAACATTTTAACAGGATGACTTAGTGCAGATGATTTGTCATTGGGAGTAGATCATTGATAGAAGATATATGACACTTAGAGACATTTGTGATTGCAGCGTCAATTCTTTTTACCATCAATAATGCATATTTTTTGCACCTACTGTATATATCTAAATTTCTAACCTTGGATTATCCAGAATAGTAGTCCCAAATTTATAGATATTTTTTACAAATAACATCAGTACATCAGTACTAAAAATAGTATTATTAAATCCTCTTTTTATTGGTTCTATATCCTCTTTTAAATTTTTGTGAAACGATACTAATAATATCTTGTATAGCTCTGGTATCCACCAGCAATGATATGGCTTATGACAAGCCATGTATTCCCTTTACTGGGGGAACCTTGGGTTTTTCTCTTAAGAAATAAAAAAAAAAAAAAATGTGTGCCGGCTCTGGCAGTGTTGTTATGTGAAAATCAGAAGCAGAAGACTTCCTGTCCCATCTTCTAGGTAAGTGTAAATTAATACATTATTCTAGGGTCTGAAATTGTTGGCAGGCAGAAGACAATAACATGCAAACAAAGCAATTTGAAAGCCGTGAGTAAGCTGTTATTGTTTTGTATACTGAGAAAAACAAGATCCAAGTTATTTCAGGCCCTTGCCTTTATTTTACTGAGTGATTATATCTTATGGTTTTGTATTATAAGCATTTTTTTTTTTTTTTGTATTCTAATGAGCAGCATTTTCAAAGCTGTAGTTATTTTATGTGTCTGTTAAATATAGTTTATATGGCAATGTTTGTTTTTTGTTTCCTGTTCCTGTAGTTTATATCAAGGAAATGGCTGACAATTATACATTGCTTTGAAAAAACCTCAATAAATTAACATGTTTTGTTTTTTGTAGCCCAGATACACAATATTGACTATGTACAGTATTGTTACATACATAACTTTTAACTGGTGGTATTGCAGTGTTTAGAAAATCTTAAGTGTAATTTGCAGCCATTAAAAAAAAAGACATACAGTATAATAATCTATTTTGAAGCAGACAAGTAAATAACTAATATATTACTTTTTCTCTACAGGTGTACAAGTCATTTCATGTTTTTTATTTTAATGTTCCTCGATTTAAAAATACTTTTGAAATTGATTTTAGTTATAATTTTTATGTATTTTATACATTAAGTCTTTGGTATTTTGCTTTTTCAAAATGCTGAACATGTTTTCACTTTTGTTCTACAATGCATGCATTAGCTACTTGTATTCAAACTCTCTTATTTCTTTTCTGATTTTTAGGAGGAAGAAAGAAAGCAACGCGAGGAGCTTGAACGAATTATGTTGGAGAATCAGAGCAAAATTGAAGAAGCTCAAAGAAAATTGGTAAGTTATGCTGTGGCGTTGTTTAGCCTTCGGGCAGAGTGGGCGTGGATGTGCATTATAAGTATGAACAGTGTGTAGAGTGGTATGGTTCACAAGTGCGCTTTTGTTTTCAGAGTTGGCTGTAATCACTACAACAGCGGTCAGAACAGCTGACCTCATAGTTATCTGATTATAAAACCAAATCTCCAAAATTCTGTGCACATTACCCTTAAATATTCTTTAACATGTGCCATGTTCTTTTTATTATCATAACTGAAAAATCAAGGAAGGCGAAAAGAATTTTTGATTTTCAGCAAACAAGGACAGAATAGACAGGAAGGGATTTAAACTTAAACTTTACGTAGGTATAGTCGGTGAGTAAGGTTGGAGAATATAGCATACTTGTTCGTACGTTTCGGCGAATGAATGAATCTTTTTCAATACAAATTGATTAATTGAATTATTGGGTGCGAGTGTTGATTGATGGTTTGACATCTGGATTATCAAACAGCATTTGCTATATTACTACCTTCTTCAGCTCGGGCTCAGGTCAACAGCTTGTCTGGGACGACTGGAGCAGAAGCACTTTACGAGAAATGGACATCTACGAGAAAATAGATAAGATTATCTTAGTGAAAACATAGGAAGAACTATTAAATTAATTTAATGAAAAAATAGATTAATTAAAATAAAAAGCTTAATAATCTGTAACAATTTCTAATTAAAACGAGGTATGTTTTTAATACTAATGAGTTCAATTGTTAGAAACTAATTTACAATTAACAATTGAGACAATTACAAACATGGTGTTTACTGATTTTTTAACAACAACAATGTAAATTTTAACTAACAATTAGGAAGTGGATAATAATATTATAAAAGAAAGATGGGAATACTTACTATTACCCTACTGATGGTCTTACACAATTTTAGTTGTACTTTTAAATGACAATCAAATGATTTCGTAAATTGATTGATGGTCATTATCACTCAATATTAAATCTAGTTAAATTTGATGAAGTAGAAACTGCTAAAAAAATTAATGTAATGTACATTTTTGGCAAATTAATAAAAGTTTTAAAGTTTGGCCTGGTTTTTCAGGAAATTATTAGCTAAGCAAATTTCAGTCCTTTGCCCAATTGCCCATCAGAGAGAATTGTATAACCTCATGTTAACTAAAATATTTCCTTGTTCATTCTAGGCGGAGGAGCGTCTAGAAATGATTGAAAAGCAGCGTAAAATGGACGAGGAACGGCGTGCATTTGAGAAAGAACAGCAGCGGCGTAAAAAACAGGAACAGGAGACGATCTTAAACAAAAAGAATGCTCGGCCCAAGGTGTCGTTCGGCTTCAAAACAGCATAGCACCTTCTAGCTTTTGTGTACGAAGTAGATGCCACTTGCAAGCAAGGTAGTGAAGCTGCAATTTGTAGGGTCTCGTCTTATTTCTGCTATTGTCAAACAAGCCAAGATAGCAAGTATTGAAAATACTAAAGTTTATATCTGCTGTGTTAATGTTGGAGAAAGTAGATTCTCAAATGTATGTGGGGGTGCATATTTTACAGATGTAGCTCTAATTTTTTTTTTATATACTACCCTTCCCCTCTTCTCTTTGAATTTTTAAGATGAAAATAATATAACTCAGGTGTATATTTGGCTACAGATTTCCCTCCTGTGGTTATACAATGGTGTATATAGTTGTAAAAACTGTCTAGATAAGCCACGCCCCCTTCCTCTGTGTCATAGTGTAGTGTCAGCTAGAGGGTTATTTAGCTGCTTTATTTAGATAAAGTTCTGATGCATGCATTGTAGATGCAATTTTTCTGCTTCAAAACACTGATGGAGATAATCTCCATTAATGTATTCAGTTCTTTAGAATAGTAGATTTTTACCTGATCCTTTTTAGCACATTTGTTTTGTTCACTCTGTTAATGCTATCGATATTGCTAACCCCCATGTTTATCGCTGTTGCTAATCTGAGAGATTTAGGTGTTTTAATTTGTTTCTATATTTCGGGATGAGGACTTATTCATTCCGTAGAGAAATTGTTTGTGTATTGTGTAAAATACTAAAATATTAGTCAATGTAAACTGGTTTAAAATAATATAAACATTTGCTAAAATGTAAAAAAAAAAAAAATGTATGAAAAGACTGCATTGTGGAGATGCTAAACCATTGTTTTGTGGATAATTACATTTTGTATTATTTACATTTCTAGGATCGAGATCCTTTCCTCAGACAAGCACCAGTATTATTAATAGGTGTTTATCATGTCAACTTATGCAATATTTATGTATTTCAGAAGCTAATTAAAGGCAGATTTAAATATAAACAGTAATGTTTTGCAGTTGGACAATCAAATATTAAGTGCATGTTCGCTGTGCAGAGCCGACTGAATTTATTGATCTTTATCCTCAAAATTATTTATTATGCTTTTTTTAATTGGTAGATGGTAAGTATGTGCTCGCACAGTTGACCATGGTGCTTACTGAATGGTTGGTAACTGTTTTAAAATAATAATTTAATTAATGGCTACATTTAAATGCCTATTTCAAAATGATTAGTGAGAATTAAGTATGGCACTACACATCTATTTGTGTGGTGGCAACTCACTATAAATTTCGTCTGTATAAAATTAAGAAAGAAAATCAGAGATAAAAAACTGTGTGACAGCAACATGTTGATGCAAAGTGGTAATTGCATTTACAGCTGTTTGAGAGTATGTCAGATTGGTGGATGAAATGCTTATGAAATAAACCAAGTTTACAGTAATTAGTTTGTTGTCTTGTTTCATTCATGTTTTTTGAGAAGCTCAATCTATTCTCACATGTTGCAATTCTTGCTTCACAACAAACAAGCTGCATTACGACACGCTCGGTATAAAATTGTCTGGTGCATGGGAGTTGGGGCAAGGTGTGAGAAGGACTTGTGTATACAACACTACATGGTCATAGAAGCATATGATATAGAATTTTGAACATGTTCAAAAAATTGTAGTTGCCAAAATGACAACGTGACACCAGCTTTAGTCAGTTTGTGTAGTCTGCGTGTGTGTAAATACTAAACCAATGGGTTGGATGGATTACTTCAGTGTGAAATACACAAAGGATAAAACCCACTAAAGTGTAAAGACTTCATCCCCTACTCTTTCCTGAAGATTGTACTGCATTGTTTTAAACATGCACACAAGACCAGCAGCAAGTGTCTCATCAAAAAGCCGGTGTAAACACATGAAGAAAAGCAGATGAAATTGAATTTGGGACCAAGGTAAAATATCTGGTTCTGAGCACACACAGTGGCCACTTCGCCAGCTATGCTAAGTTGCTGTGAGGTCAAATGTTTAATTCCATGTTGTTGAATTGTTAAATGTTGTTATTGAGCCAGCTCTGTCCTTCGAGAGGGGATGATGTCTACTGTACTGGGATGCTTGTTCAATTTGGTGCCACTAGGGCTTTGTTTAGTCACATTCTTTTATTGACATTTGATTAAAGGCATTTCCACATAAACAGTACAGTACTATAATAATTATACACGTTATGGAATACTCCCACAGGGAGCTTGAGCTTGTGTTCCATAAGCGTTTAATCCAATGACTGGGGTAATGATAATGTGAAGTGCATAGAGGGCTTAACATGCTATATAAGTCTATTATTATTATTATTACAATATTAACAAATGTGTCTTTATTATACTAATTAAGAGACCAAAGCTGCTAAGGCCTGAAACCTGGTCCCAAAAATGGTAAAAAAAAATAAAGACCCCTCCAATTAAAAAACTAATTCTACAGTATTTACGGACCACTTTTCTGTGGTCCCATATTAGCAAATGTGTGTTATCTTTATTATTCTAATTACGAGACCAAAGCTGGTAAATACGATGGAAACCTGGTCCCATGGTCCCAAAAGTGGTCTTTAATTAGAGGGAGACCTGTAATACTTGCAAACAAATGAAATGACAAGGCTGCTGCAAATACAACTTCTTTATTACAATCTTCAAATGCAACATATCACAATGCACTTCTTGACAGGACGGAGTCGGTTTCTTAATACTGATAACAAAATTCATGTAACCTTTTGAATGGATAGTCTTTAAAAATGAAATATTTAATAATACAGTATACTAGTCCTGTAATATATTGGACTGTATAAAATTAAAAACAATGCACTGTACTTCTGGATTAAGAATCTTCAAGTTATCATCTTCATTACAGATTTATTACATAAATTTAATATTTCACTATACCTCTGTTTAGTCTTCATGGACGGCATCAAACTTTCATGTACAGTATTATATTTATATACAGTACTTTATAATTATTATACTTTACATTTAGATGTATTATTTTTCACTGGATGGAGTAAATTATTAAACAGTATATTTCTCTTCTATTGGAATAAAAAAACAAAACAAATTGGAATGTAGTTTATTGAATGTATAATATATAAATATATATTATACATATTTTTCTTTTTAACCAGCTTTTCAAAAGGGTTTGCCAAAGTTGGATCATACTTGTATACAGCATTGTTCGGATTCTGCCTTTCAACATACATGAAAAAGCAGGATTTGTTTGATCAGCATCTGAAGCAAACATACACTAAAAATGCCATTGTACAGTTTGTTAGACAAAATCTGATTGTATATACTGTGCTTTACACTCTTGGTGTTGGCAAAATCAAACAAACATTTGTTACATAAATAAATCTGATATATACACATATATTTGTGCTTCGTGGTATTGTATTCATCATTAATTAATTGATTTGTTATTTAAAATTCAATCTATTATTTACAATTGTAGAACAAATCTTCAATACACAATATTACAAACAACACAATAACAAAATATATAATATAACATTATAAAAACAATATTACGGTAATAATTTTAACTGTAAAACAGCAGTAATTTCACAAAATGATTTTTTTTTTTAAATTAAGTCAAAAATGGTAATAATTAATAATAGAAATAATCATATTAATGGAAGAACAATATTTTTAAAGAGATAATGATAAACCTGGGCCTAGTGAAATTGGGAAACTATGGGGTTTACTTAAAATTATATTTTTTTTACCATTATTAGTGAATACCATGACACATTGTACTAGTAGTGCAACCTCATGTGTGTGTTGCTGTTGGTCCAGTTATCTGAGGGCTTAGTAATCCAAGCTCATAAGAATGGCTGTGCCTCTCTTGGTCCAGTGATCCGCAGGCAAGCTACCCGATTTCAAATCCACGCTGACAATGAAGGATGCTCGACCCGTTGACCCAGCACGATTCGGGTAGTAGTAGCAAGGGCAAGCATAGATTCCTGCGAGACAAAAAAAATATATAAAACTAACGAATGGGGCATATTCAAAATTTTTTAATTTAAAAGAACAAATCTGTACACATAACGGAAAATAAACTGAGTAGTTAAATCATGAGCTATGATAGGCCCATAATTACATTAGATGAGAATAAACTAACTTGTTTAGTGTTATTTTGTTCAAAAAGGTAAATGTTTTTCTGTAGCCTTACCTTTGCCAGATTTCTTCTTGTTTTCAACTGGTTTGAAATGGATAGTTGGTAAAGGACAGACCAGTTGCATAGGGTTTGCCTCCACAAGTACTGCGTTCTTTTTGTCCCAACCGGCGCCCTCAAGGTAGAGTCCCTTAATCCAGACTCCATCCTTTGGTGGTTGTGTGATGTTGTTATCGTCAACAGTTGATACGACAAATTCCCAGGACAAAGAATCAACAGAAACCTGGCAACAAAAAAGGGGAAAAATGATAAGATGAAAAAAAATATTAAGAGAGTTATTAGATTATTTTTAATACACCAAAGTTCATAAAAACACAATTTTCTATCTGTAATTATTTCAAAATTGTTAAATCTATATATAATTAAATATATATTGCCTCATCATGTACATACTTACATTGTTTTGTCTTGCTGATGTCTGGAGGACGGCGGTCAAGAAACCAGTTGGGAAAGTGAAACCGGACATCCAGAATATGACTGGTGGATGAGCAGTAGTTGCCCACTTTGCAAACTGCTCCACACGGCTCACTAAATCTCTGGTCCATGTCCCCAGGGGTTTTCTGGAAGGATAAGCCTGGGAAAAAAAAACATAATCCATCAAGGAATAAGAAAAATTGTGCTCTGGATTATACTCTAAAGCTCTTGTTTTGGATGTAAATTGTAAATTCTTTGTAAATTGGATGCTCTTTAAATTAAAACAAGATATCATAAGACAAGATTATGACTGGTTATTCTTTGTGTGGAAAATGTATACAAATGAAGCAAATTCTAGACTCTTTGTTGTCAATATCATAACACGATATATTGAGATTCTTATTCCTCAGTGAATTAAACACAAGATACAAAAACTACAAACATATTGAGTATATATCTATCTAAGTGTACCTTCTGCCATGAAGATGGAACTCTTGCATCATAGATACAGTTGAAGATCTCCTCCAGATCGTTGGACATCACCACCAGACCTTTGATACCCTTCTCCAGATCAATCAAAGATGAACGGATTGTCCTCAACAGCACGTTGTAGCGCTGAATCTGTAAGTGAAATAAAAGATAAAAAATGATTAAATTAGGACATTGCTGAAAGGCTTGCAGGTTTGCAAGGACATCAAATAAGGCCGAGATTTCATTATCTGCAGTCAGGATCTCATGAATGATATAGCTGCGGTGTTCCAGTGGCAGTTTCAGAAATTTCTACGTTAACAAAGAATGTTAGAGGCGAGTTGGTTGGCCAAGCGGTTAAGTCATGGGCACCGTAACCTTCAGCTATAATATCGGCGCTGGTTCGAACGGCTCACTCGCCTATTGTTCCGGTGTTGGAACAAGTCTTCTAGGATAAGGCCTAGCGTACGCAGTTGGCTAGTGTGCACTTTAAAGAACACAGTACATCCTTCGAGAAGAGTTGGGGGTTACCCTAATGTACTGGTCCATTCAGGCAACTGTTATTTAATGGACATGCCACGTAGGATAGTCATTAAGTTCGCTGATTGGCATATCCTAGGCACTTGTGCCTAAAGAAATAATGAAACAAAATTTCATTACACATGAAAGCCAACTGACTTAATGCACGGAAGACAAAAAATAAGAATAAAATAAATATCAATAATAATTATAATAATGCCTCAACCTGTGGAGGGTAGGTTTACCTCTTGCAGGAGAACAACATTCAGAGGTGAGGGATCATCTTTCAATATCTTAGCTGTTCCTTCATAGTCAATATCTTCAGGGATCTTCTCAAGTACATCAGCTGCCAGCTTCAACACCTACGATGAAATAAGGTAGAAGATTTCAACAAGAAGTAATCAAGAAATATTATGATACATACCACATTCAAATAATCCATAAAAAGTGAACCTTCCTATTTGAGACCCCTCTAATTCGAGACAACATTTTAAAGGAACCAAATAACAATAATTCATCTTTAAACACAAAGCTAATCCCAAAGACCACCCAAAATTTTCAAGGGCAAACTGTAGCTGAATACAAAGGTTGAATTACACTGCTTACCTTACTCTCTCTGCTCTCACCAACTGAGACGGACACTTGAGGTTGGAGTGACAACAGCGTGTCAAATAGGGTACTAGTCTCTGTGATCTGACTGGCAATGTCCGCATTAGGATGCTGACCAAAGGCCTCAGGATGGTCAATTGCTGGAAGCATACTAATGTATTCCTATATAATAATAATAATTGGCATTATATATTTATCGTCTTGGTTAAGGTTAAGTCATTTGAGACTTGCCATTGCAAAACCAACATACTGTTGCTAAATGTTAAACTGAGTAATTAACATAAGAATATGACAGTATGGTATAC